CCCCCAGAGAGGAGCAGAGGAAAGAACCGGGTGACCCCAGCCACCACAATGCAGAGCCTCCAGGAAGCTGCAGCGACGAGCCCACAGGCCCGGCCAGCGACCCATGCCCCCCCCAAGTAGATCCGGCCATGGACACCGAGCCCCAAGCCCCGAGGCCATATCACCCCCCAGCAGAGCCCCGACAGAGCCAGGGCACCCAGGCCCCGCCAGGCAGCAACCAGGGCGGACCGACGTGCACCCCACCACCCAGCCCAGACACCGAGAGCCACCAATGCACCGGCGGCAAGGGGGTCCCCCGCAAAAGGGGGGCACGACCGGGGGGAGTGGGCCCCACACCAAACGTGGGGCCCAAATTGATCCAAGAGAGGGGGGACCACCAAAAACCCAACCTGAGCAACCAACAGGCACACACAGATAGCCCGACAGAATCTCTGTCGGGGCCGACCGCATGCACCATCTACCTGACAGCGACCACAGGCCGGCCCCAGCCCAAGGGGCAGAGCAGCAGGGAGCCGCAGCTGAGGAGGGCCAGCTCTCACATCAAGAGCTCCGCACCATAGGCCCGGAGATGCCCCAGCACACCACCCATGCACCCCCACACACACACAGCACCCACACTGCAAATGCCACACAGGAAGACCAGCCAGTGCCCGGATGAGGTGAAGCCACGCCCCCAACCGCCGCCCTACACCACCAATGACCACACATACACTACCATAGCCGACCCCCCGCCGAAAGCCGGCAGCCACCCCGGTCAAAGTGCCGGCCATCGCAACCAGGAACCTAGATTTAAAGAATCGGAACAGCCCAGGAGGAACTGAAGCACCGGACCCAACACTGACCGCCCCCAAGGCCCAAAGCCCACCCACAGCCCAGACCCCAACAATGCACCCCCCCCCCTCCATCCCCGACCCCTAGTGTCACACGGAGAAAGGAGGTGTTTGTGAAAGGGGAAAAATAAATAAAAATAAATAAATAAATAAATCTATATATGCATAAATAAATTATGAACAGACCCACTTCCTCCTCCTCCCACTCGAATATGGTGTTGATGCATGTTGTTATACAGTGCGTTTAAAACGGGGGGATGAGGTGGCTACCGGCACAGACCCACCTCTTGCCCAGAGAGCAGGCAGCGCCCGTTCACCCCTCATCTCCGCCCAGAACCCTAAATGTCTACATGCTACATATGAGAGTGGGCACA